AATAAAAGTTATAAGAACATCAAATTTGATTTCAAAATGATAATTTTTATTCAAAGCAGCAAAACTGTCACTTATAAACATAAGGCTGAAAGTCATCAAACATGTACCGTAAACATAAGTGCAAGTGGATTAAACTCAAAAGCTAAATAAAAGGATAACACAATAAGCGCATGGGAGCCGCCATACTGTTTGTTTTCCTAAAAAAACAGTTTCCCTAAACTATACTCGGCATATAAGACGAACCCCCCCCCTTAGGAGCAGAAATTTATGGTGTAAAATGTCGTCTTATACGCCGGAAAATACGGTACTCATCCAATTGTGGGAAAATTCAACTAACAGTCCTTTATTACTTTAACAAAACAGGGTAAATTAAAAATAGTTATAACCTGGGAAGATTGCCGCAAGTCTACTTCAAGAGGCACCTTTACACAGTGAAACTAGGCTCCTGTGGCTTGGGAAAATTCAACTCATTCACCTTATTAAAACTATAAGCCAAAGGAAAAATGGTTAGGATCCCCTACAACTATTACAATCAATCTTAATCTATGAATTGTGTTTACTCCATTTCTTTTAAGAGGATGAAGGAGTGCTATTTAAATTTTCCCATAATTACATGAGAAGAGCTGACATTTCCTTTGAATTTCCCACAACCTTTGAGAGCATCTTTTGGGAAAACAAACTTATGTGAAATTAAATTGAAAATAGCTACCCGTCCATCATCATCTTAGGATAATTATGATTAGAGCAACTCGTAGATTTTATTTACTGGTAACCTCGTAAACCTACTCAAAAAATCTTAATTTCCTGGGCTTTGTGCAAGAAGCGAAAAAGTGGCTGTAATTGATACTGTTGCATGGGTAAACTGGCGTCCGTTCTATCCATTTGACTGCCTCGGCTTATTCCTCTAAACTAAACATACTCTTTTTTTCTGAATATTCTGTTGCCTAGAAAGGACCAATGGTGCCCGGCTTGGCGCCCCAAGTGGCTTTGGACAAACAGATCCAATTCAAAAACCGTTTCGACAATCTTGTCCGTAAGATGAACACAACACAGAAAGGTGAATTGCTATTCGGTTTTCCGTTGAGCGACTATTCACGCCTCCAACAGATCGGGAAAGAATTGGAGCTACTTCAGCGTCTCTATGGCCTTTATAATGAGGTGAATCGCACAGTGGCTGGCTATTACGACATCGTTTGGCATGACGTCAGCATGGAGTCGATTGGAACTGATCTGGCCGAATTCCAGAGCAAGTAAGTCACTCTCACCCCATTTGCATTGCCCTATCTTATCATTCAATCTAAACCCAAATCTGCGGATCATTTGCCTACCGAAAGCATCAGCCTCAATGATAAAAGCATCATTTTATGTCATGAATCAATTGTAGAAACTTTTATTTCATATTTAGGGAAAGAATAATGTTCAGAATCGTAGGACAATGTCACTCGAAGACGACGGTTGATTGCAGTTGTTGTTTTGTTTTAATATGACGTTTAATTTGGCGCAGTCCACCAGACATTCTCCCTCGTTTTAAGTGAAAATTGGCTTATGCAATCTCAGTAATGTTACATCCCGCATGCTATGTATACTCATAACTAAAATAGAAAATATGAGCATATAGATAAACATTAAATTATTTTATTAGTTTCCTTTTCTATTTATATTATTATATTATAATATATTTTGTAACTTGACATACACGCATGCAGGCTTGCATGTCATCATCTCAATATGAGTTGCTTGTGTGCTTACGCTTTTTTTCAATTATTCTGAGGTA